AATCTAGTCCTCAGGATCGGTTTGTGTTGAGACCAGAAGCTTGGCAGTTGAACAGCAGCATGATGTTTAAATATATACATTTTTTGCTTCTTAAAGCCTGTGATGCCTGTAAGGATTTTTATTTCCAGCAGTGAAGCAAAAATATGGGAAGAAAAAACTTTCTCTTTTATTTTCTAAGGATGAATCCAGTGTTTCTACAGTTTTCTGATTAATCATATTCTCTTCCCATTTCCTCCATGTGTGATACCTAGTTAGATAAGATTTGTCTACAATATAAAAAGAAGTTTACTTATAAAAATTCTCTTAAGTTGTAACTTTAAGAAGTGTTGTATCACTATAGGAATGTTTCCTGGCAAAATCAAAATAGTGTTTTTGTTAATGTTTCATATCCATTGTTCCCTAGGGTCTCTGCCATACTTTAAGAAAAGAGGCATGGAAATTTCTTTTGGGGTATTTTCCTTGGAATAGCACTAAAGAAGAGAGAGCAAATCTGCAAAAAAGAAAAACGTGAGTACAGCGGGCTTTTTGTTACAAAATAAATTTTAAACCTGTTTTTTTCTTAAGGCATATAGTGATGTAGAAAGCTTTTTGGAAACTTGAAAGACAGCTGCTAAAGATTGTTGAATGCAAAGAAGTGTGTGAGACTTTCTTAAAAATAATCGTTATACTAAAGTAAAAGTATTATATAAACAGGGTCTTGTTATCCCATCTATGCCAAAGAACAAATGGAATGAATGAATGCTTAAATAAAAAAGAAATGTAATAATTGAGCATGTTTTGGTTTCACATTCTTTTTTTTCAGGGATGAGTATTTCAGGATGAAACTGCAGTGGAAATCTGTCAGTGAGGAACAGGAAAAACGAAATTCAAGATTAAGAGATTACCGGAGTCTTATAGGTAAATTTAGATTTAGAAACATACCTAACTGTACAAATTCATGCACTTCTACAATTCAATATGAAGTTGAAAAAATGTAACTTTTTGAGTAACCTGTATGAAGAGGCACTAAAAAGTAACATGTTGCTGTTTTCAGAGGTGCCTAAACTTATTGTTATATACTTAATACTAAAACTTTCTTCACCAGAGTTACTCAGAGCTTTTACACATTAGTGTTACAGCATGGCTGGATTTTTTAACTTCCTTAATAACAAAGGCTCTTTATTTTGTGTTATTTCATGATGTAATTTTACTGGGAATGTCATTCAAATGATGACATACAATAAGAATGTGAAAATGTGTCTGTTTATATTTTAAAATTTCTTACAAGGATTTGTATGTGTTCATTCCAACTTGCATAATTTTACCCTACTTTTAAAAATTTCATCAAGTTCTGACTGTTAACAGTTTGTATCCTCAATTCTCTTTGGTAGTGAGATTTGGGCACCAATGTTTAGTATTACTAAATTGTTATTTCAGGAGACAGCATAAGACTTTTGCGTTATTCTGAGACACGGACTAAACTTATTTCAGCCAGTTACTCAACAAGCATGCTGAAAGGATTGAGGAAGTTTAATCTTAGTAGATTAGCAAACTACTTTTTTAGAGTGTGTGTGTGTGTGTGTTAGTTAACAGGAAAAAAAAATATTTGGAGTTCAAAAAAGGCTGAAGTTTTGGTTTTGTTGAAGCAGTTATGTTCCTTTTTAAGTGTTTGAAATGTAAATGACAGTATTAGGTTTATGTTGTATAGTAGATCCAAAACTACAAACTGTTCCTTGTATTAAAGTGCACTCAAAATTTTGCTTATTTCAATACATCAGTCTCAAAGTTCACATTGTTGAAGTTTGCTGTGTGCTTGGTGTGTTTGAGGCATGAAAACTGCCTGATGAAACAGGCAGTTTCAGCTCACTAGGAGTTATAGGAACTGGTTACTAAGAATTTACAAACATGCTGTGCTGAACTATCACAGTGTCTTTGAACTGATCATGCAGTAACTTTTTCCTACTATGGCTTGTGCTGCATCACATAAGTATTCATAAATGGCATTGCTTAGCTAACAAGCATAAAATTGTTTTTAATCCCTGTAAGTGCAAAACATCTTCACTGAATTATAATGAGGAATTTTTCCATAAAAAGTATTAACAAACAAAAGGCAAAAAGCTTTAAAATCTGTTTATAAGCAAATCCTTTTATTGCAGACAGGAAGGATTTTCTTTCTTTTAAAATATTTTTTATTTTGAAATGAAATTCAGTTATGCAGTTGTCTTAAACACTTCAAAGCTTTGCAACAGTGTTTGAGGAGAAAATCAGCAGCTTACAACCATTTTGAATTAATTTGATGCTGGCTTTGTAGAACTTGTTTTTGAAAATGTTTTTAAATCTGGACTGTTTTCTTAGAAAAAGATGTAAACAGGACAGATAGAACAAATAAATTCTATGAAGGCGAAGATAATCCAGGATTGATTTTACTTCATGATATTTTGATGACCTACTGCATGTATGACTTTGACTTAGGTAAGTGGTGTTCCTCTGAATGTAAAAGTCTTTTTAGTTTCTGATATGCAGCTTTGCTTGTGTTAAGGCCTGTTAATACAATTGAACTTGCCTTGATTACAATGCTTTTTGTAAATGTCAAGATTTATATTTTAATAATGTAGATAATTTTGTTCAGTTTCTCATCCTATTTCTTCCTCTCTTCTGTCTGATGCTCATCACAGATACCTGAATTCATCAGCTGAGGTGGGATTGGGAATTAAGTGGCAGTTTGTCTTCACCATAGCCCTGCTGTTGTGTTTTGGTGGTTTTTGTTTGGGTGGGGTTTTTCTTAGAATTGAAGCAAGTTTGCTTTTAGAGTTTTAAATGGGTTTGGGTCTTTGGAGCTTGAGTGTGATACCCATTTTTAAGACTATATATATCAATAAAAATGATAAACCAGCTGCCACTGCTGTAATTAAAGCTCAGTGTGCTGAACCAGCTGTTTGTAAACACGGGTGTTCTTATGAATACTTTAAAAGCTGGTTCTTGAGTACACTTAACAGACTGTCAAAAATTAAGCTTTAGTGTATACATCTGTTGCAGAAGGAAGAGCATATAATGTTTTGCTTTAATCACAAGATGTCTAAGTCTTGGCTTCTGTTAATTGTCTTGGAAGAGAGGGAGGGAAAAGATACTTCTAGCTGGTTTCCCCCCTCCACCCCTGGCATGATGTTTGGCTGTTGTGTACTTGGGGTTTTTTGTGTTCTGTCTCAGAAAAGTGTTGGGATTCTAAAAGCCCACTTTGTGCCAGATTTTGAAGACAAGAAGTAGGATCAAATCTTTAATACCTAGCAAACCTGCTGCAGAGTCGTAGTACTTGTCAGCTTTTGTCCTTTCTGTCACATCTATAGAGACACTTGATCTTTGGCCTGAAAACAAAGGGGAAAACTAAAACTGATTGAGACTTTAAACATGTAGTTCTGTTCCACATGTTTTTCCACATTTCAACCTGCATTAACACACAGTGACATATGAGTGAAATTATGGCACATTCACCATCCACTCTATTAAAAACATTGTTTAGATGACTTAAATGTATGCAGTGGATAAGTCTTCTGTTTTATAAAATAAGCAAGAATAATGGAAATACAGTACATTTGACATTGTATCTGTCCAAAGCTGCTAAGCTACTCAAGCACTGGTACAATGCTGCTCTTAATCCTTTGACAGCAGCTGTAGAAAGGTCTCAGTAATGCCACAAACTGCCAGATAGGGGAGGGGACAGAACAGCTGTTAATACAACATTTTTCTGAATGATTCCTCAAGTCTGCTTTAATGAAATTGGTTTTAGTCTTTAAGAGACTTTTAAACTGTCTTGAACAAAATTTTCTTTGCATTTATTTTTAATTGGCTATAGTATTAAATGTGTGGGGAATAAAACATTTTTCTCTGACCTTTTAATTATTTACCTGTTCTCTGTTCCTTGATCTGTTTTTCTTCTCACACCTGTTCCATATTTTCACAGTCATTGACTCCAATCCTCTTTTCAGTTACTCAGTTATAATTACATCGTTAAGAAATGGAATCAACCAAGCTTGATCCTAACTGAGAAAGGTCGTGTAATGTTGAACCAACCACAGATGACAGACATACACATAAATCATGTTCTCCCTTACTTAGGGAGGTCAGCAGCAATAGGGCAGTAGATAAGCTGACTTGAGCATCAGCGGTAAGGTAGTTGGAAGAGTCAGGAAGAAGGGGAAAAATGAGCTCTAAAAATCCTTGTCCTCTACTCTTCTTAGTTGGGCTGTTAATTACAAATAAGGAAGCTGGAAGAAGTATTAAAAAAGGTATGACATTTTGAAAATGTTATGTGTACAACTAAATTTTCTAGCTATTTGTAAAAACAATATGCTCTAAAAATGGGCATTTTATTCTCCAGTTAAATGTAAGCTTTTCTTATAAGGCATGTGAGTGCTTTTTAGGGCAGATGAACTTGATTCACCATTTCTGGGCACAGAAACCCAAAGGCACTTCCTTGAATCAGGTCTGGATACATGTGTGTTTCATGCTTCTCACAAGCAATACTTGGCTGTTAATCCCCTCTGGCAGTTTAACTAGGTAGTAGTTGTCTTTGTTGCTGAGTGCTTGGTTACATAGATGGTCCTAGGCTTTAGTGTATTTAAAATACCATCCAAGCATAACAGTCCCTACTTCCCTAAATACAGGAATCCTTAAAACATATTCAGTGCCAGAAAAAAAGAAATGTTAAGTGTGAAATTTTCTTTATAAAAGCTATTGCACCATATGTTTTCCTGAGATTAAAACTCAACATCTCTTCTTCACATCTATTTGAAAAGAAAGTCTTCAAAAAGGTGGGAAGACATTAAAAGATATTAAATGTGTGGAAGAAAGCAACCAATTACAATTGAGGAGGAGAGTAGAGTCTGTATTTGTGATGGTGCTAGGTATACATTTTTTAATCTTAAAAATATCAATATATGCTTCTGAGCTCTAAATGTGAGCTTTTTTGCTAAGGATCTATTCTGGTGTCAGCTCAGTTTGCATGTATTTTAACTACAAAATCAATGCGTTTGTTTTATGTTCTCTTTAGATTCGCAGAAACTGCTGCTAAATCTTGTTCGATCTGCTGGATGTTGGTTATTATTCATACAAAAATGTCTTTACTGGTGGTTGAGTAGGAAAGTTGTAGTATCTGTACAAACTTGGAATGCAAACATTTGTTTCACTCAAGTCATTCAACACACTTGAAGAATTACTGTTTAACTAAATTACTATTTGCCCCCCTTTTTTTTTTCCTTTTTTCTCCATCAAGGTTATGTCCAGGGGATGAGCGACTTGCTTTCACCTGTCTTGTATGTTATGGAGAATGAAGTAGATGCCTTTTGGTGCTTTGTATCATACATGGATCAAATGGTAAAATAAGGCGCTTTTTTTGCCTGCATAAACAGATAGGCTATGGATAGCATTTGGGGTTAATTTTATAAATTTCATTTTTAAAAAAAATTCTTTTAAAGCAATCATCTTATGTTTGAAGTCAGTGTGTTTTTTCCGATTGACACAGGTTATGGTGGGTTTCTGATACTATTGCTGTGCAATACAGACAAACTCGGCTCCTTAGAAATTTCAAAGTAACTTGGAGCCATCACAGACAAATTTGTATTAATCAGGTGTCCTCTAGCAGGATTTTGTTCAGGATAGTGGCTCCCTGTCATACTTACTTACCTTTTGACATTTGTTAAATGCAATTTAGACTTTACACAAACTGAAGCTTTTATGAATTGTGCATGTGGCCAAACAATATGTGACTGGTATGAAAATAAAAAAAAGTGGTCTTTTTAGTTTGAGTGCAGTGGTGCTGCTTGGAGGTACAGAGCATATGCTGATTTACAGTATCATTTATTACATATAAAAGTGTTATCGAAGAAACACTCCACTGCTTTAGTTAAAGCTTTCGGTAAAAGGCAGACGTTTCATTAGAAGTACAGTTAAATATCCCTATGTTAAATACCTAAAGGATGAGAACCACTGTTGCAATAACAAAACTTTTTTTAAAATTAAAAATAGCTGTAAATCTCAAAATTGTCATTGAGTTAATAAAAATGACAGTGCTAATATTTTATTCCATCCAGCATCAGAATTTTGAAGAACAGATGCAGGGTATGAAGACACAACTAATTCAGCTGAGTACTTTGCTTCGTTTACTAGACAGTGGATTTTGCAGTTATTTAGGTAGGTGTATTATTCATGCACAATAACTAAAACAACTTACTGCATTGTGTGTGCATTGCTATTCTTACCAGTCATTAAACCGAAGTCCCACAGTAATATTATATGAATACAAGACTTGTAAATGAATAACGCCTAAAAGATTTCAATAATTGCTTCATGCCTATTGAAAAACAGGGTCATCTTGTTACTGATTTTAAAAATACGCCATCCTCCAGCAAATATCGTTGGTTCTAAAAAGGGACTACCATCTTAAAAATCGGTGGTCTGATTGTGTACCTGTAAAACATGTTGGGTTTTTTTATTCCACTGTTGTCTTAACCAAATTTGGTGTTTATAAATTATAACATTTTTATTCCTAGAATCTCAAGACTCAGGCTACCTATATTTTTGCTTCCGATGGCTTCTTATCAGATTTAAAAGGGAATTTAGCTTTCAAGATATTCTTCGACTCTGGGAGGTAAGATATTTCATCACACAAACTCCAGCAATCTTTGGACTTTAGAACAAAAAGCATGGATCGTTCTGCAAAGTGACTAATACTCTAATAGATTTTTTTTTAACTGATTCAGTGCAATGAGCTGAGGACGTATTAGCGTACCTTAATGAAAAAATATAAGAGCTAGTGGGGATAAACTGGCTCTTTCAAAAAGGTTTGGACAGGATCCTTCAGATGAGGCTCTTAAGTTAAAGTTGTAAGTGGAGAATATCGGTTAACTTCTTATGGAAAACAACTTATGCTAGAAGAAATAGCATTTGTGTATGTGTCTGCTTAGTTCCTTGATATCGGTAGTACTTTATAGATTAAGTGGAATGAAGCACTGGCAGGTTAGTTTTTGTGTTAGCCAAAACTATAAAGAGGATGAGGCCAGAAGATCCAGTTACTCTTGCTGATGCCTCATGATGCCAAGACAATGTAAAACATCAAAATGTGGAAGTTCTGATAATTCCAGGTTAATGAGATCTGTTTTGATTTAGGTGATCTTGGGATCAGATGGGGTAATTAAGATAAACTAACATTTTGTTGAACATTCTTTAATTCTTTGTTCCCAGAAAATTGAGAAATGTGTCAACAGTGCAGGTTTGTTATGAAAGATGCATTTAACAAGTGCACAGTATCCACTGAAAGTTCCCAAACAAGAGAATAAATGTTCAGATGAATGGAAGGAGTATTTTCTAGGATGTAATATCACATAGAGTTGTGCTGGGGAACAGAAGGGTAATGAAAAGAACAGGACTGAGATGCATAAAATTTGTACTATAATGAAAAATAGTGTTGATGCTTTTATTCACTTTTTCCACTAATGAAAAAGGAGTCACATAAAGAGGAGGACTACTATTTAGAACTGCCTAAAGTAAATCTTTTTTAGCTTTTTATCATCATTTGGTGGAATTTACTATCATAGAGTATTGAGGTGGTATTTTAACTGAAGAGGACTAAAAAGTTTATGAATAACATTCATAAATAAGGGAACCAAAATGTACAAAACCCAAAGAATTCTGTTACTCTGAATGATAAAATGATAATGATTTTGGGGAAAAAAATTCATCTCAGGGTTTGTTTGGTTTTTCCCCCCCCCTTCAGTGTTATGTTGTCTTCTCAGTATTTTTTTAAAGGTTAATTTTTCTTTTTAAATTGATGACAACAGTATTTTTATTTATAGTGTATAGTCCTAGGCTAGCATGTTTTTATCACCTCTGCCTTAATGTGTGTATATGTGTGCATGCAGAAAAGCAGCATGCTGTATTTCTAACTCTTAAGTACTATTTTTTTTCTGTCTTAGAAGGATGATGGAAACCTATTGATATATGATAGTCTTGTAGGTTCCTTCTAGCACATCGTAATGTATGTTTACTACAAGTGTTCAATTTCTTTGCTAGGAGATATGGAGTGGGAAAGCGTGTATCTTGTTTTCCTTTTTAAAACAAACTAATTAAGGTATTATGTTGATGTTTTTGTGTGAAAGCTAGTGTGTCCTTTGTCACAGTTGAAGTTCACCTTACAACAGGTTTTTTTTCCTGTTTGTAGATACACAGCTTCTATCAGTGGAGTTTGTATGTGGGATTTACAAGGGCAGGCTATAGGCGCAGGAGACCATTTTCCTGTTTGTAAATGGTAGAGAGAAATGAACTGCTTTTAGGGTATTTCAGTCTGAGCAAAATTCATGTGCTGTTTTGTAATAGCACATGACCTGAGGGAACCCACTTGAAGACGATGTTACCATGTGATGTATTCACTTGCAGAGGGTAGAATGGGAAGAAGGGGAGGTACCATCTGAGATTCCAGGACTTCGTTCCAGGACTTTTTGGGCTTTTTCTGTCTAATCTCTGAATTTCAGGGCGTTCCTTAGGACTTCCATTTCTGTCCTCTGAGTTCCCTGAACCCCCAAGGTAGCATCGGATAGTTTTTCCCCTGTTCCCACTGGCTTCATGACTTCAGTGTTTTATCTCAAAAGAAAAAAAAAAAAAAGAGGAAGAAGATTCTTCACTAGACTGGTTATTAGACATTCAGCTTAGAGATGGGAGATACCAGTCCCCATCAGCTGGAGTAGAAGCTAAAACCAAGCCCTCCCACTTACTGAGCAAGAGCCATAATAATCAGATTGTGGTAGAAAACGCAGGTGGTTATCTCATTGCTACATGTTGTGGCAGGGTGTGCTAGGCAGTGCATGTGCTAGAGCGATGGCATTCCACTTTGTGTGGCTAAGATGAGACGCATTGTGTGATTGCAGTTATTTGCAATGCTATGTGCAACACCTTTTTACAGAAATATGGATGCAAGTTAAACTGCTCTGTCTGTGGGTGGGATTATTTACAGTGCTTTTTAGCAGTCTCTCTCAAACTCAGCCCAGGTCGACAGCATACTGAGCCACTGCTTAGACGTCCCAAAATTGAGAGCAGCTCAGTCCCTCTTACTGTCCTTCCAGTGTGAATTACCTTGTAATTCCAGCCAGCTCTTAATCTTTCCTTGCACAGAGAGCTGCTTCATTCTCAAGATGGTGCAGGAAGACTGGGTAGAAGAAGAAGAATCCCAAAAGAAAAATGCTATAACAAAATTACACAGCTAGCTCACACTTGCCTCCAGTGTTATGCTAGTACAGCTCACATTGACCTAGTGATAAATTACTTCACATATATGCTGGTATTTGTTATATATATTCGTGGATGCTGAGGTAGCACTAGAACAAATGAGTCCTTACTTGCATGGCTTTATCAGAAAGAAATACAAGGAGATGAGTTACCGCACTTAGGTGGTATATTTTTGTATTCTTAATTTAAATGCTGTTTTTCTGTCATCCTTTTCCAAGCACTTTGTGATGCTGCTGTTACGCATTTACATATATAAGGTTAAGTGCATGCTCTGTTCCAGACTTCAAAAGGTGAATCAAAAATGGTAGCAAAAAGTATGGGAAAAAACCCAACGATAGTGTGTAGACAGACTGTATTGGGTAGACTGTAGGCATTTTCATATGATTGTTATTGTTCATCAGCCTATTTACATTCCAGCCCTTTTCCTGGAGTGAGAGAGTGCTTTAACAGAATATTGGATACCTGAAAAAGATAACAAAATTTAATTCAGGATAGAGTGAGTTGAATCTTAATGGAAACATTCAAGATTAATTGCACTTTATTTTGGGTGAACGTGGTTTGGGTACCTTTCAGACTTATGCAATTCTGTATACAGGCTACATGTACTAGTGATAAAAGTTCCGGCAGAAGCTCTTGTGCTTTAAGGCAGTGTTCTATCAAGAATGAAGCAAGAAAATTTTTACTGGTGAAGTAAGACTGAATCTTCATGAGCCTGCTTTTTACCTGCCTTTTCTGAGAATAAATTCATTGATTTTATCCCTTTGTCTGTTTGTCAGAATAATTTATGCAAACAATTTCAGTTTCCTTTTTTGTTGTCAAAACTGTTCTCCAGGTTTCTGCCCACCACACACAATCTCTTCAAATACTTTTTTTTTTAAGATTTGGCTCTCATGAACATGCTAAAGTAGGGTCTTAATACTGAGGTTGCGCATTTCAGTCCCAGTGAACTCAAGAGTGATTACCTGTGGCCTCCGTGGGACCAAAAGCCACTGTGCTGCAGTCAGAAAGTAACACCTGCCTGTCCATGTATTTGGGCTCTTGTAGCGAGGGGATTGGGGACAATTTTAGCGTCTTATCTATAAATGTTAGAACCTTTTGGAGGGATTGCTGAGCATGATGCACTTCTACCAATTCACACTTAATGCAGACACACTAAGCCACAGAAATGATTTGTTAGTTTTAATTACTTCTTTGTAGTTAGTAATTTTGAGTAGGAGAATTTCACATGAGCAGAACACACACGTGGACAAGACTGCAAGCTCAAGCAGCTTAATAGAGTTATAGTGGACAACCTGGTAGACACAGAAGTCTTAAATAACTAGATAAGTATTTGGTGACTCAGACTTGCAGTTGTCACTTATTGGCCAAAAGAAAAATTTCAAATAATAATACAAATACTTAGTTGCCTTCAAAAGTAGCTTCTTGTTAGTTAAGCCACTTGGCTTGAGGCCTTACTTATTTTCCAAGAACTGTTTTTCTTTTCAGAGGAAAAGCGTAAGCATTTAAAAAAATGGTTTTCATATTTTAACAGGTCATGTGGACAGAATTGCCTTGCCAGAATTTTCATCTTCTCCTTTGTTGTGCTATCTTAGAATCTGAAAAACAGCAAATAATGGACAAGCACTATGGCTTTAATGAAATATTAAAGGTACTGAATTCTTATGCATTATTTAAATATTAAAAGAATTCTTGGAGTTAATGCGATATGTTTGTATTTCATATGTTTGAGGAGAGGAAAAGGTGCGTACTGTCTTCTGAATGGTGAAATGTGAACTGAATGTCTATCCTCCATGCTTTCACAATGGTTTATTTGATGACGGTGTTTAGTGATAAGATCATTAACAGATGGAAAATGATTCTCCCCCTTAGACTACTGCTTAGTATTTTTAATTTTTGCTTTTTGTTCTATAATCTTATTTGTTAGCTCTTTGAAAATGTGAGCTTGGGGGATACCAAGGAGAGCTGGATAGTTTGTCACATTTAGAAATACCATAGATTCCTCTTGCAGATCTTGGATCCTGGTGAAAGCCAGCTGTTGGGTACTACATCTTTCAGTATCCATTTGTCAAAGCAAATAGAGTATGTTTAGCATTCCATAGCTTAAGGGGCAAGCTTATAAGGTGATAGTTATTAGCAGTGCAATACTGTATTAAGTGTATTTTACAATAAAACTTATTTACCATTTATCACACTTACTATTCTTTATGAATATATTTTCAGCATATCAATGAACTGTCTATGAAAATTGATGTGGAATATATACTCTGCAAAGCAGAAGCCATTTCTATGCAGATGATGAATTGCAAGGTAAAGATATTTTGAATGTATCTACTGTGAGCATTTATAGACAGTGAAAGTATGTAGTTAGCTGTAAGTGTACATGTACGACTTGAAAATAACTAAATGCCTAGGTATGATAAAGCATGTGCTGTATCTATTCTAAAAGTCTGTAAGCAAGAATGATTAGTTTTTGAGTAATATTGTTCACTGGGGGAAAGCTGGAGTGTGCCTTTTGGTTGTGATTTCTTAACTCTTACTAGATAACCTCAGTACAAGTAATTTGATGTTCAGTGTGCTCAAGAAAAACGAGGTGAGAAGGTGCACTGCACTGAAAGCATATGAGACTTATTAGGCAGAAACTAATGGCTCGCTCAATAAAACTAGTTTCAATAATGTGAAGTGTAATTATAATAGTTGTTCAAACTTTTATTTTTGTAATGGAGATTATATTGTTAATCAGGAATTGATTCCTAAGCCTGTCCCCTTTGCTGTCTTTTCAAAAAGCAGATATGGAAAATGGTAACATTAATGGAACTAGTGCTGAGAGAGATGCTTTCAGTATACCTAAATTCAGATGAATGGCTGGTTACTGGGGATGGGGGAAGGACTGGGAGATGACAACTTTGTTTTTAACTTTTTTCATTTAATGACAGTGATTTTTAATTATTTCTCCCCCCTTCCTCCTTTTTAGGAATTGCCTCAAGCAGTTAGTGAGATCCTGGGGATAGAAAGCAGTTCTGTAACACCGGATTCAGATACCGGAGAGGATGAAAGTGGAGCTGTGTTGAGTTGTCCGAAGTCATCATATGAGAGTATCTCAACACCTGTAATTGCTGCCAATGGAACAAGAGACAGCAGTCAACAGATGTCTGAGACGCAGAGCCTGACACCTGCATAATTACAGTTTGTTAAATTGAAGAAAGACTTTTACTGAGCACGTTTTTTTCAAGCACTTGAGAGATGGATATTTAAATTTGGTGTTGATTTAAGCTTTAAGGTTGGAAAGAAAATCTGTACTGTAATGCTCTTGCATTAAAGCTTTACAACATGACTCAACTTAACTATTTTTGTAGTTTCTTCTACCAAAATAGCCTTTTGTTTTCAATAACATTCCTTAATATTTTTGTAGCCAAGTGCATTTTCTTTTTGCTGGTGAACTGGAAATGGATGGTGATGAAGAATGAATTTGAAAATTCTGCATTTGCTGAGCTCTCACACATATTGATCTAAGGCAGTGTGAGCTCTTTGATTTGAGCAGATTCACAATAGGCCAGCTGAAGCTGCTATACAAAACTTTCAAGCTGAAGAGATACTGATGAGTTAAAGGAGGATCGTTTTGTAAATGAATGGGCTTTCCCTTTCTCAAATGTTTACAAAAATACTTCTAAGTATTTGTTGCTGGTTGAATGTAGATTTGAAATGGACATTTATACTTTGACAGTTTAATGTCCAAATACTGAATTTTGTGTAACTGGGAGTGGATGAACAGTATATTTTTACATTAACGTATCTTCACTTTATATATGCATATATATATTTACACACATACACACACTATATACACAAATGTTTGTGAATACTAAAAAGGATAGTCATATTTTCAATATCTGAATAAACTTGACTGTTTATTCATATGAATCAGTTTGACCAAATTAATGCACAGCTCCAAATTGGGCTATTTTTGAAAACTTTTCTAACTGAAGGTAACTTTCATGAGAATACATTCAGTCCTACACTTGAGGTAATTTTGCAATTGATTTCATGCAAACTTTACTAATGTTTATCTTTGCTAATATATTAACTGAGCAATTAACTACTTACACTGTTTTTATGGCAAGATTATTTGGAGAATTAATAAGCAGGTTATTAAAAAAACCACAACAAACCACAACAGTAATCACAATTAACACTAATGCATTTTTTTGTATATGCAAAAGGCAGTGTGAGTTTATTCCATGCCATGCTGATGTCCTTTGACGTTATGTGAAGTTTAACATAACTGATTCAGTGTATTCATTTGGTAACTATTGTACATATATAAAATAAAAATCAAAGCTGATCTAGTGTTTTTAATTAAATCATATTTAGAGAAAAAAATCTAGTTGTCTGGTTGTTGATATAAGATCATGAGATAGAGGGGATAGCTGACAACGGTTAGTCCATCGATAGTACGTATTTGTGAGTCATGAAGACCAGTGGGAATATCTGTTACAGAGTGGAACACGCCTTTTGTCTCTAGGCAGTTGATGTGTGGGATATGGTGGAGCTTGCTTTTTCGTCTGGAGCAGTTTACTTTTACAAACATTATGTGTGCCATCTAAAGCAAATACAAGTAATACAAAAAGGCTTTAATAGATAAATCAAGTTGTTACAATAATTTGAGGCCTGATTAAACTTCTCTCACCAGTTGTGAATGAACACTGGAGAGCTGAATCAGTATAGATTTTTGTTTTTAATATCGTCAATGTGCTATCTCTCATCAGTTAATAAGAGGAATCTTATGTGGTGAAAGTCAAGGATTCACAGCTCGGCGTATCTATAGCCTTTCATTTCCTGGCCAGGAAATTACTGTGAAGCATCATGCTTTTGTTAGCTGTAGAGCATTGTGCTGCTTGGCAGTTCATTTAATGTGGCATAGAATACATAAAGGCAGTAGAACTTAGGTAATCAATGTTTTGGTTCAAATGTACTAAGCAAGTTAGTTTCAGTATTTTTTGAGCACCTAGTTCGCTTTGAAGTGTACTTGTGAAATGTTTTTGTCAAAAATTATGTTAAAATGGAACTATGGAAGAGGGGAGGGAAACGTCTAAAACTGAGAAATGCAATGGGCAAGTGTGTCAGCTGTGTGTGGTTCTGGGTCATTCAGGATATGCAGCCACAAAAAATTATATGCAACCTATTAAGATCTTGAAGAAAATCATAATTGAACATCAATATTCAAATGTGTAAGAAAAGCATATTTAAGTAGAATTCTCTCCTTTCCTAGAATTACAGCTATGGCTGCTAAGAAATACTACCAGCCCTTAAAGTAAAGTTAGCCTTTGTTTTTTAGGTGTAATTGTTGATCCTCTTCCCTTTGTATTAAGCACTTGGATGTTAAGGATGAGAAGGTTGCTCCCAAATTAACAGTGAGCAGCTGCTGTGGAAGGCTTGGAGTAGTTAGGCTCACTTTGCTTCCCACCAATAAGATCAAATGCTCCTCACAGTGTTATCTGTAGTTTCCTTCCTGCTGCCAGGCAGCCTTGCAAAGAGTTGCAATCAAGAGCAACCTCGTCCTCCATGAAACTACTCCTGATTGTTAGGGATGGATTTAGTCTAAGTTGAGACTACGAACGCCATGAGAAGCTTTAATCAGGATCATGATGGCTGAAAAAATGCCATGGGTTGGAGGTTCTAGATGTGTACGTTTTTTGGATGTAAATGATTTAGATAGCTTAGAATTAACAAATATGAACCAACTCTTGAATGCATTTTTTTTGTTACAGTAGTCAGGCTATAAAAGGGGCAATCCTTGTTTAGTTCCTGCAAACCTGATTTGTTTTTTTTCATGCTTGACTTGAAGTTAATTATCTTTTGGGGGCGAGTAAAACTGTACTTTTCAATAGTAGCAGTATTCCAGTGTTACCTGTTCCAAGGTAAAAATTACATTTATGTAGGTCTCTCCTTAAGAGAGATTTTTCTTACTTTGCCTCTTTGGGCAATTTTACTTGTTTTGACAGTACGTTCCTGAGGTTCTTTTCCTTCTGTTTGAGGGCAAGCTTACAAAAAGGAGAACTGGCTGAAGCTTCTTGGAAGTTTGGACCAGTGTGAACGTTTAAAGAATAGTTTTGATACTGGGAGGTTAAAAAACTATAAAAGGATGATACTAAATTGCCCATAGCAATCACTTAACGCTTCAGTTAAATTGAATATATTTAACAGATGTGCATCTGTCCTGTTCATCTGGAATGCCTGTGTTTGCCCCCAGTGGCCTTCAAACCCGTGTTTGGTGTGGAGGTTCTGTATGTGTTGTTGCAGATAATCTTCCTAAAGAATATAAAGGCTACATATGTGTTAGAACAGGTCCTGATTGCTTTAGAAACCAGAGGTGGGAATACTGTGATGTTACTAGCAACATTTTTTGTTTGATCTCTAGTTCAATTCAAATTAAGGTGTTAATATTCAACAAGTCCAATTTTGTTGCTAACAAGTCTTTTTCTTAAAACTTTTGCATTTTTCTAGTGGACAAATTTAAGATGCTGATGGTGCCTCTTCAATTATTCTCTAGTTTTTCCTCACATTACAAAATTCTTTGGCCCCAGTCAGCCAAAGCAGTGAGGAATCAGATTCCTCGCTACTTTCAAATATATTCTTGAGCACCGAATCAAACCTCCATTGTTGAAATTTTCAAAAAGCTGTAAAAAGTGGTGTTCTAGCTTCCACTTTGTGAGATCATGTTTTAGTTCACAATAAGCAAGGCACTTTTTCCTCACTTCGCTAAATAATTTTCAGTTACAAGATTCCTGCCTAACTTGAAAAAAAGATTTTATTGTAAATGACTCAGCATTCAGAATTTGGATTGTGAACAAGTTCTGGTACTGCCAGCACGATTCATGTATCCTAGTGTGATGCAAATGAAGCCTTACCAAGTTTGGGATTGAATTTCTTTAGGCAAAATCTATGTTCTCCTCAAACTGTTCCTTGTTAAACAAGATAAATGACAATGCTGAAGAGGTTAGTGAAATTTTAAAAGTGCATCTGAGAATTGATTCACGTTAGAAATGTGATTGGAAAACAATAATTAAGTGGGCTGTGTCCAGGAGTAATCATTTGTTTAGGAAATGCACTAACTGTTCCTCAGCCTTGTTTAAGAAATGTGTTAACTGTTCCTCAGACGCGGTTTTAGTCAATATTCTTATATAGATGCAACTTCAGTTTTAAGTTTGGTTTGCGGCCTGTAGAAAAGTGGCTGGTAACACAATTTTGTCTGTGGCTGGCTAAATATCTTAATATATTTTTCAAATCTGTTGACTGTTTTCTAGTCAGTGGCTGGTGCTGTCTCTGTCTGTGCGAAAGAATCGTGGCAGAGAGGTCAGTGCTTGTACTTACCGGAGAAATTCCATGAGCTGCTCTATAGTGGCTGGGATTAAAGCAGGAATCCTAACCCTTGGTTCTCAACGTGCATTTACGTACCTATATCTAGCTCAATAGTTGACATGACTCTATATAAGCATTAATAAGGTGGTAAGAGAGACAGATACGTAACTGAGCACTTAGATTTCATATATGTGTGCTATTATATTTGATTTAATGATGCTTTCAAATACCTTTTATGGTGTTAAAAGATGAATTATGCTTCATGTTTAGTGAGGCTTGATAATGTCTGCTATTCAATTAAGTGATCTTATTGCAGTGCAGGCCTTGTATAAATTAAGCTTGAATTTCATTTAAGTGGGGATTTTAATCTTAAACTTTTTTAAAGAATGTGTTATTTTTTCATGTTGAATAACTATATCTCTGGCACAAATCAAATTTTCTGACGAATTGCAAACCAAAAATACGCTGTTAGGATGTCACTTTTTGCCTCATCCAAAATGAATTTCACAATTGAATCAAATACATATTTCAAACTGTCCATGTAATTAAAATAAATGAAGTCTTCTAGATGGGTTATGTTTTAAAGAAATTTTGATTATACTATATATTTTGATTGTACAGGCTATGCGTACCCTACCTGAACATTAGTTCTTAGACTGTTTCTACGTATGCATCATGTTATTAACCAACTAACAGCAGAGCCGTGTTGTGTAGAGCTTGATTTTTTTGCCCAGGCTATTAGTTCAGCAAGTGGTGGTCACTTGTGTCCTCTGTGTGTGGTGTGGTTGACCCCAGCCAGCATCCAAGTACCCACCTCTTGCCTGCTCCCCTCTCCCGTGGGATGGGCAGAAAATAGAAGGAAGGCCAGAAGGCTCACAGAGTGAGACAATGACAATTTAACAGGGAGAGCAAATGCTGCTCCTATAAGCAAAGCACAAAGAGGACCCGTCGGCACGCAGATGTCCGGGCAACTTACGTTCAGTTGTTCTGCTGCTTGTCGTAATTCAATGACATGAAGCACCAGAAACTCTTCCAAAACACTTTTGATGTATGAATTGGTCCAGATTACATTGGACCAATGTAATTGGTTAGGTACATGGGTTCATGCCCCTCTGGGCATTGGTCTTGGAGAACTTCCACACACTCTTCAGGTTTTACTGTTAAAAGTAACTGATGCAGGAGACCAAGAAAGACTTTAAAGTACAGATATTCGGGTTCAGGGACTTGATAATTCCTCAAGCAACAAAACAGTACACCTACTGCTACCAAAAGTGGCACGATCTTGTTCTCTGCCCTGTGCCGCTACATCTTTGATGCTGGTATGATTCATTTGTGCAGTGTATGGTGAACCACATAAAGGAGCTGATAAGTTTCAGACTTAACCAGCTCTTTTAGCCAGATCATACCACATTTTTTTTCCCACCATGAGGTATATACATACAGCAAGTTTGTTAAAAACATGTATGTGCAATATTGGAAGGCACTTTTAAAAGCTCGTAAATAATAAACTAGCTAGACTATCTCTTGTTGGAAGGCATGTCTGTCTTCTGCCAGATGCTTGTCTAATCTGTTTGGAGCATACCTTTGTAGATCCCACAGTCTATTATGCAAGCACTTTACAGGTGTTTGTAGACTTCCAGGGCAGACTGAATGGTCACAGGCAGCTGGTGATTTTCTGTAACTTCTGACTCCATTCACGTGAACTCTGCATTCTCTTGTAATTGTGCAGCTGGTCATCTATAGGTAGTCCTCCCCCTGCCAAGATCTTTTTAAATTTTGTAACTGTTACAGCATCTCTGAGGTAGATACAGTCTGGGAGTTTACAAGTGGTCTCTATGCAGTCATTTAGGCTATTATTAAATAGTATAGCAGGGAGAGTACGTGCTTGTGGCTCTCCTGTTCTCTGTATCCTGCCATTTAACAGTGAACCCACTCTTTGTCCAATCTATTAGTTTCATCTGGACTTGGTTTCCTTATCTGTCTTGTGACAATGTTATGAGAGACCATGCCAAATGCTTCG